CATACTTTTGCAGTAATTTACTGAGTTAAAAAATAGAATATTTCTATCTAACTCAACTTTATTCTGAAACTAAGAGATCTTCAGCTTCAGAATATAAAATGTCACACGGCCTTTCATACTCTGTGGTAAATTGGTTTTAGGCACTTGTAGAAAAGCATGATTTTGCTTAAATATAAATGTGTCTAAATGCAGGAACTGTGAGATGATCAGTACTGCCTTGCTTTCATTCCAGTTAATTTTTATTAGTTGTAGCATGTTCCTAGACTGAAAGTCTAGGTCTGGACATTTCAAGATTCAAAGCAGGTCTATATTTGGTGTTTATATACCAATCTCTGTCACTACTTTGGTGTTCAGCCCCTTTTAGTCACCAGAATTCCTCATTCATTTACTGGACAGCAGGAGCCAGACGTGGTGATACTTTCTATTATTTTCCCTTTATATTTCATTCTTGGAGATAGAGGTTTTGACAAGTAGGTACTAAAAAGAATGCACAAACCCCAGATCATAAGTGACACAGTAGGAAATATGAAGTGCGAAGAGAATAATTAATCTGCCCTCTCTCTCCCTTAAGCTACAAGAAGATCATAAAAAGAAGGGTAGAGATTTTCCATTCTTCTTCCCAGGAATCAAGAGAGAAGGGAAAGAAGAGTGAAATGCTACCAGAATTATTACTTTATCACATATTGTCTTCCTGTGCTCTTGTTGTAAACCAGTTATTAGAATATTGAAGTATTACACAGCAAAACAAACCAGGATCCTATGCAGTGATTAATTTGTTCTTTTCCATTGCCTGAATGTTTTCAGAAAGATCTTTTCTACAACATTTGTTGAAGGGAACGTGGTTCTTAGATGTCAAGAAGAGGAAAGGCCATTCAGAGCTGTCCATTGCAATCCTAGAATCCTGACAGCTGCTGACTGCCTCGGGTGTCTGTGCAAACAGATTAAACTGTAGGTTTAGGTTAATGTTGGTTTTAAAAATGAAAACTACTTATAAACTGGCCAATCAAGTGAACATTCATTGCACTGCAAGCAATCCTTGATATTTATAGGATGTGTATTAATATAAACTAAAATTCATGTAGCATTACTTCTTAAGGTAACTATTTCCATATATAAGCAAATGAGGAATGCAAAATTTCACAGCAACTGTTTTATTGCCTCAGGTGGCACAGCTCCTCAGTGAGTGAAGACTGTGTGTGTTTACATGCTAAAGGTGCCTTTTTGCCACTTAAGGAGACAAAAGTTGGTTGGACTCTGCATAGCCCAGTGAAACTCTCTCCAACACAGACTCCTCACTGATTAAGTCACTTGAAAAAATTGGACCTCGATGTCTAAGTCATTAAAGCAGTTTTATTTTTGTCTTTTCATTATAGTCCTAGTCCTTAATCCCATATCAAAGCATGGTCAAATCTGAGTTAACAATAGAGGCTGAACTAATGTTTACACAGAAAGGGGACAAAGGAGGAGGAAGTAGGTGAAACAATTGTTTTATCTCAAAAAATGACTCCGCCTTTATAAAATGTTCAGAGTGATGCATTTCTCCTTTGGGCTTGTAAAGGTTACTGCAGTTAGAGACCAAACCACTGAGAAAAGGGTAGGACTAAATAAGTAATACTCAATTTTTATGCCTTTTAATTCTTTCCTTCTTTTCATTTTTTTTAAACATCAAACAGGCACTTAAGATTTTTTAAACTGAACTGGGTATAGAAGGGGACATATTGCTAATCTTATTACAGCTTTTTTCATCCCAAACCATTTGCAATTTAAACTTCATTAATGAAAAAATAACTTCTCTCTGAAATGCTGCCAGCTCTGCAGTAAATGATACAGCTGTTTTACAATAGAAATACCAAAAGTACTGAAATAAAGTGGAAAAATCATATTTATTTGAAACTCTGGAAATAATTTATAGTAGATCAAAATGGGAATGCAGCATTTTGGCTAATAGGGATGCTAATGACTGGGGAGGCAGGGAATCATCAGAATCACATAGTTCATGCCTGATCCTGACTTCCTCCAAGCTGTTTTGTCAGGGCTTGCTTCCAAAAATTTATAGGGAATTTTAGGACTGGAACTTAATTAATTCAGAATTCAGACTGTTTATAAATGTGGCACTATTTCAGGTAAGAATAATCTTAGTTTCATCATTCATACACAACCCAATGAAACAGTTTCTGTCAACCATTTCACATAAGCTTTGTGACAAATTTTTCTTTTGACCGTAAAGTTTTTTTTTAATTGCCAAGTAATGGTAGAAGAAGAAAGTAAACTATTAGAATTAGGCTTCCACCACTGCAAAATGTTGTTATAAACCATAAGATTACTGCTAACCTGTGATAACTTATTCAGTTTGCTCACTTTGCACCTGTGTAAATGAAAGAAAATCAGTGCTTTTCATTACCATTTAATCTTTTATCCATATGCAATTGTCAAAATACAGTACTTCTGTGCCTATAGAAAGCAAATAGCTGAAACTTTTTCTCCATAGGCATCTTAGATTTCCTTGGAATAGGAAATTTATTTGTGGTAAGTTTATTTGTGGTAAGGAAGAATATTTGCTGCCACCTTCTGGGTTTTATATTGCACAGCTACGGGTGCAAAGTTGGTCCTATTTTCTGACCTTGCTCCCTTGAGAAGTGGGACCATTACATGCTTTAGAACTGGTTTGAACCTGATCCTTGTCTCTGAGGTGGATCTGCCACATCTGGTGCCATTTCAGGGCTTCATTTAGGAAGCACTGGGATTCTCTGGCAAGGCAGTATGTGGTGCAAAAAGTGCTCCTTTCTGGAATCCCACCTGGAGACCTGTTAACGCTCACAGACTGATGTTAAGGATCACATAAGGGTCACAGAGAGTAATTAGTGCATGTGCTGCTGGACTCTGGAGATGCCAAGTGCCTCGAGCTGGACACCCAAGGCTACTGAGTGTCCTGGTGTCAGTGCCACTCACTTCATGCCTTATTGACTCACTTGTAGAATAGTGTAAAGATGAACTCTGACTTGTGAATGACTTGGGTGCTAACAGAGAAAATCTGTAAAGAAATAATTCTGCACGAAGAGCACGTTTTAAAGAGTGTACCTTAAGTAAGGAATGGTGCTAAGCACAGAACAATGTCAAAACAGAACAGCAAAGAGCTTTTTGTCAGATGAACATTCTGTGCCCTGAAGTGAGTCCGGAGCCCCACACTTTAAAAAGCAGCAGGTGATGACATAATTACAGATGTTTTGGCCAAACAAACACCCAAAGAGGTTGGATTAAGCTGACACAGGCAACGTGAATTCCAAGTGCTCCATTTTGCAATCCAAACGGTGGTGTTTAATATTGTTTTCTTATCACTGTATATGCACAGTGTCAGTGCTTGACTCAGTGCTGCTCCTGTAGCAGTACCAAATCCATCAAGTTTCTCTACCAAAACACCTCTCTGAAAGTAATACCAGCATAAGAAAAGTTTATCATTTTGCATGATTTTATATTATCTGGAATGCTCCCAGCTGTGAGGCAGAGCACAGTGCAGGTGTAGAATTACATACCATTATTAAAAAAATACATTGCTGCCTCTCCTTTGTTTAATCTTTTGATTTTTTAATGCAATGCCATCGTGAATTTTTTTTCTCATTAGTCACACCTCAGCACTTTCTGACATCAACCAAACAGCAAGGAAGTATTTGGAAACCTCTTCTGAAGAGACTTGCAGTCTGGTTTGGTTAATAAAAGACAGTCAGGTAGCATGGCAGAAATATCTGTACATACTAGAACTGTTTGCTGAACTAAAGAAAATTAAACTTCAGGCAGATATTGCTTAGATTCCACTTCTAAGTTATAAGCCTGGCGGGGGAAAATTCCCAAGACTCTTGGAAGAAAGCTAAGTGTACCCAGATTCCCATGCTTTGCTTTTGTTCACAGTGTAAAGCTGTGTACCAACAACCTGCACAGTGAGGCTCTAAGAAGTAGCATTCTCACAAATTAAAGAAAAAAATCACTAGCAGTTACTGATGTTCATTGGGGAAAAGAAGAACTTTCCTTTAAAAGAATGAAAATATTTGTCCGTAGGTCGTTACTGTGTGGAAACCTTTGCTTCTAATAGAAATGTACTGAATTCTTTGCTTTGCAATCAGTTAAAGCTCATACTAAAATCAGCAAGTGTTGTGCTTCATGTCACCCTTTGTAATCCAACATGTGCTCCTGTGACTGGCAGTGTATTTTACTTCTTTTTATTTAGTTCTGTATTTTACCATTCCTCCTTTTCTTCTCTTCCTTGTACATCTGTTAAATCTGTTACAATCCATTGTTTCAGATCTAGATGGGACAGTTTGTCAAGATCATTATGAACAGGGATAGATTTTTTTTCCTTTGGATACTGCAGAGGATAATAGGAGACTTGATTAGCATAGAAAGGAAAAGTCTTTGCCTGCATTACTTGAGGAAGCAAATGTTAAACCCATGGGAATATCATCGTATGGTTGGTCACGGCTTGTAAGGGAAGAGTTTTTTAGAGATTCTTCTAACAGTATTTCTTGGAGCTTCGGGACTTTTCCTGCTTTTTTAATCATTTGATAAAAAACCTAAAGTGCTTCCTTTAGTAAGCAAGCAGCCTGAAAAGCGCTTGCCAAGCATAACTCTGGAGTGATTCCAACTCCTTCCCTATGCAATCAACCACATGCAAAGGTAATTCTGCTCTAAAGCCCAGTCATTGTCCTGGGCCCTGTGAAGTTGTGATGGTGGCACCCAGTGGGCTGCCCTGAAATTACCACGCTCACTTATTTTCCCAAGGAATCTTCCAGCAGTGAGTTCATTCAGAGCTTCTGAATCCACAGGTTTTTGAAGACCTCGTCAAGTTTCTTCTTTGTACGACGTTTCTATTTCAAGCTGACCAGAGTCCTTAGAAAACAACATGGTGCCAAGCTGTGTAATTAAGGTTTGCACTTGCCGTGCCGAACCCCCAAAGCGACCGGTGGGATCCCGGGAGTTTGGCTTCAGGTAAGGAAAGGTGTGTCATGGGAAAAGGCAAGACTGGAAGAGCGAATCTTTTTAGAACCAAATGTTTTGGAATCTTAAAGCTACCAAATCTGGAAAAGGACCCTGGAAAAAAGAGAGGAGAAAGATTTTGCAGACTGTTAGTTGCTGTCATCTCCCTGAGATTTCCCTGCCTCGCAGAGTACAGAGGATTCCCCCCAGAGATGCTGGAGCAGCAGCATGGGATGGTCAGGCTGGTCCTGTGTTGAGCTGTCATCCTGGATACTTGGTAAGCACTGCTCCTGTCAGATCACATAACCTGGTGTGAAGTTCTTCTAATAATTGCTTATAATCTTTTATCAGAGTTCAACAAAAAACCCCATTTCAATGAAAGTCTGGAAGTAGTCAGCCATCTCTGTGCAGAATAAGTGAACCCTTCTTGCTGATTGGCCTTTTGCCTTCAGTATTTCATGATCCTCTGACAGGTATTTTATCCTGTGCAGTCTCTGCAGGTTTTTTTGTGGGGTTTTCTCCCCAAAGCTTGCCTCCCTCTAATCCTAGTAGTATTTTCTTTCAAAATTACTGCTGTGCCACTAAGCCCTAATTTTTCTATCTGAGCCACACACCAGCTCCTCACCTCCTAATGTTTTTGGAGCCTGCTGATACCTCAGCCTCTTAGTATTTCTTTACTTCAAATACAAGTTTGTGTAATTCTGAACATTGTGTAATTCTGAACATTCATTAATAACAACAGGCTGCCAAAAAGAAAGCAAACTCAGTGCTACTGCTCTGAGCAAACTCACCACTGCTTCTGTGGTGACAGGAAAATGGATCACTGCAGTTTCTAAGGCTGATTTTGTGTCATGACTCGAGTGTCTCACAGAAAATAACATTGGGAATGCAAAACAAAGTAAATAAAGTTAAACTAGGTATACTTGTAAGGGATTATAGAGTTTACTCTGTAAGTGTTCCTTCAAAAAAAAAAGTCATTGAAATCTCTTTCCAGTTGTTTCATAATATATTATCTTCTGCTGAGCAGGGACATGGTAAGAGTGGTTGCCCTAGAGAAGGAGGGAGAAGTTAAGCAGTTCTTTGTTCAGGAACTAAATTTTGTCTTTTGTTTCTTCAGCAGAAATTTTAGCTTTTTTGTCCTAAAGCCACTCATCTCCAACACAAAACTTTTCCATTCAGGTTTCTGTAACAAGAGGTTCGTAACTGCATCAGAAATTACAAGTGTATAAACCCTTGACTGAGGTAGCTGTTTTCATGGTAAGGCTTTCTAAAATGTGAGATCCATTGTACTGATGCAGTCTAATACTTCCAGTATGTGATGTAATTAAATGTGCTAAAAGCAACATAAAACATTTCGGTTCCTCCTTTAATGTGAACATACTGGAAGTACTGTTAGTAGAGGTGGCTTAAAATTCACTGTTAAATATGCTTACATAGTAAACATGACAGTTGCATCTTGGTAGCCTTGTCATGTTTTATGAAATAATTGTAATAGATTTTCCAGAAAACCATTTCCAAAAGCTCACTGCCCTTTCCAAGTGGAATTTCAGTTGGCTCATTAACACAAACCCTTCATTTCCTTGGCATTCCAGCTATGTTTGACATCACCCTTAGCTTTTCATCTGGACCCATGACAGTGAACAGCTCGACTTTCCTCTAAACATCTGCTCCCTCACAGATTACAATTACATCTTGGATAAACTTGTTGCTTTAAGTAGACTAGTCTTCTGAAATATTAATAAGAATTGAAGACTTACCTGATTAGTAAAAAGAATCCTGAAGCCAAGTTGGATCCAAGCACTATGCGTGTAGAATGATGTGTATATGTTAAACTGAATTCAGAGTTGAGCTTTGAATGGGATTTTCAAAAGATCTTAACTGACTTAAGAGCACCAGTGTCACTGGGGCTTTGTTTTTAACTCTTGCTGGAGCTTTAAAAATCCTTCTGGTGTTGCTATAGGCCATATGAAATACTTGTATTTCAATAGCAGCAAAAAATCCAAATGTGATGAAAAATTCAAATTTTCAGCATAGATACACTTCCTTTTCTTTTGGATAAAGTAAAGAGAAGTTAGGCCACAGAAGTGCACTTTTTGCTTAGTGCTGCAAACACACATAATCTTTAGGTGATTCCCTAAGGGAACTTCTGGGTTGTGCTGAAAATGAAAGAAATAGCAAAACAGTTTTAAAGATGACAGTTATGCATTTCTGTCTGCCACTTGGATTTAAGGCAGATGACTCAGGAAACTGAAATGTTCTGTTTCACCCCAGAGCTCTTCCCTAGCTCCTGTTAACTTCTGTTTTTCTGGAGAGCTGATTTCCTTTGCATGAGAATTAATCCCAGCTTTACCTCTTGTTTATTCTGGTGATAATTAGAATAGTAATGCTTTTTATTTCTCATTTGGAGAGTAGCCTGCCATACAGACCTATGTTGGCTAGAAGTTAGATTTTGGTAATTCCCAGGTTTCACATGGGATACTTGGAAGTACAAAACTGTTCTAAATCCCCTCATTAAGGAAACGTTCTTGTGATGATGGGGTGAGCAAGTCCACAAGTGTGATCATAAATTACAAGATGTACTTTACAGGAAGACACTGTAAACAAAGGCATGTAAGGCAATAGGAGCATGATTGGATTTCTGTGTCTCTCTCTAGGAGCGCTACTTACCTTTGGGAGAGTATCTTTATTCCAAGTACATACTGGTATCTTAAATGTCTTCCTAAAATAGCATATGTAACTTCAGACTGAACTTTTAAAGAGGAGGGAAAAGGAGGGAGGGAGGGAGGAAGGGGAGAAGAAAAGGAAAGGGGAAAGGGGAATGGGAGGGAGGAGGTTTCATACTAACAGGCTAGCATAGAAAATAGATTTCCCCCCAAGACATGCTATCAGCCTGTACAGGTAAGTGAAACAAAAAAATAGCAGCCAAACCAAAGAAAAAACCCGCAAACAGGCAGAGAGGAAAGGGACAAGTTTAATGATAGAAGAAAAATACAGATATTGAAAGTGGAAAACAGATAGAAGGGAAATCTCCAAAGGATTAAAATATTGCTACTTTCTACTTCCAGGTAAATGCAGTATAAATATTTCCTGAGTTTTCCAAACTATTTTTCCCCCCAAATTTCCCATCATTCTCCTGAATTTTAAGAGAGAGATGGATCACTTGGTCATTTTCTTCTAATGCAGTCAGCATGCCAATCCAGAATTGAAAGGGTAGAGTGTAATTTTGGAGGTCCAAAATTCAAAGGAGTGATTTTTACTGGCTTGATTAGACTTTGATTTCCGCCTACTGTCTGCATCACAACCAAGTGCCTTCTTCTGAACTTTGATTGCAGTTTGAGTTACCATCACGGGACCAAGCTAAGGAGATTTTGTTCATATTTAGGAATGTTTTCTTCATAAAGATAGATAGTTGTACACACCCCCTCCCCAATGATATGAAAGGTCCCTAATAGGTCTCTAAGTAGCTGAATGATAGTTTAAACAAGTATAGCAACAGATTCTGCCACTGTTATTCATAGAGGGATGCTTTAATCTTTAGCTTCACACTTGGGATGGATTTTGATCCCCTTTGTTGTGTGAGAGAGCACCTTGTTTCAGCCCTAGCACCACTGATGGTAACAGGACTGCTTTTACTGAAAGACATGCTAAACTACTCAAACATAGCTCCTTGGTTTCAGCAAGGCTCTGTATTTGCTTTGAAGACCATAAACTTCTTAAGGACTTCCTACAGTAGCAGTATTTCAATCCTTAGTCCCCAGTACAGCAAGTAAAAGGTGAAGGAATAAGACCAGAGTAAAAAGATTTAGAGTGGGAAGAAGCACTGTAGAACCCCAAGTGAAAATAATAAAATGTGTACGAGAGACCAATAGGAAGACATAGTCATAGTTATGATTTACTGTCACTTACTACTCTGGGTGCAAGAATCAGTGCTCTTGACTATAGGTAGCCCTTCATTCTAAATCACTGTGCTTTCACAAGAAACTGGTGCATTACACTGCAGCTGCAGAACCCAGCTCCCCTCTCTGACTGCTCCCGAATTTGGATTTACAGACTCCTCTCTTACTTGCTGGGTTCGAGGCAAACTCTGGCTAAAAATATGCCTGCACGTGGGATGTCAAATTTCCCCAAAATGGGAAATCTCTTAACAATTTGTCCAGCTGTCTTTCCACCTCTTTTAGTCTTCAGAACACTCCAGCATCTCTGATAAGCACGTTCTCTGTGAAATCACAGAGGCAATTCATGATTTTTGGATCACAGCTGATCCACATAGCTTAAAAGCTAAGCCCCTGGCTGATCAATCAGATTCCTGTGGAAGGACCTTTGAGCCAGGAGAGATCCTGAGTGAATTCCGTGGCTCTCTGTGCAGGCTAAAGGTCTATCCAGTTGTATTCTGCTAGAGATCAGTCAGAGTCTAATACTGTGTCTATTTGATGCTATGTTAATAATACATATTACTATTAGATAATAAGGCACTTCTTTAAAAAAAAAAACAACCACCAAAGTCCTCAAATCCCTAGGTCATTAGAACACAGTTGGGGAGAGGGACAGAAAGAAAGCTCTTCTCTATTAATTTGACATATCAGGAATATTGCTTACTGTTGTTTCTGTTGTAATCCTAAAGCAAAAACCTAGTGTCCTGCTCACTTCAGGCAATGGCATCTCTTCATTTCAGAATGTTTGTCTATAAAGCACCTGGCGATACGCATAAATGTGCTAAAATTTGTATCTATTTTGATTCCTTAAAAAAGTTCAATGACTTTGGACCCAGATTTGAGGTGATACATCTGACATTGTTAGGTGAGCTAAGGAATAATACCACTGGCACCGCTGGTGTGCCGGGTGACCACTGCACACCAGTGACTGCAAGCAACGTGGACACTAAGTTTGAGCTCTAAGGTTTACTCTGCAATAACTGATGGCTTCCACACCTGTGCAGTGACTCCAGCTTTCTTGGCTGAAAATTTTGGCCTCGGAGCGGTAAACAAAGAGGGGGTGGTGGTTTCTGGCTTAGAAAATGCGGAGTAGCCTGGAGGTGAATATGATTCGTTTACTGGGAGAGAGGCATTTGACTGGAACGGAGGTTGGGAACCGTAGGCTGGCACGGAGTACACTGAAGATGGCCGGGCCCTGGTGGGAGAGCCAGCACCGGGTGGGAGGAAGGTAGGCAAAGGTAGAGCCTGCTTGGAAGGGGGCAGCTTCGATGTCTGCTTCATGGCAAGGCTTTCCTTAGGAGGTTGGAAAGTAAATAAAGAGGGATCGAGTTGATAAGGTTGATGTTTCATAATATCCAAAGCATTGAGACCTTTCTTAGGTTTTCTTTTTGTATTTTTGGTGGTGGCAGCAGCAGACTTGGAGAAAGCCTTGGAAGCAGCAGGAGGGTAAGATGGGCAGTGGATGGGATTGTAAGCAACGGGTGGAGGCGCTCGGACATTGGATGAGTATTTCCAAGAAGCTGGCAAAGATGGAGTTGGAGATGGGGCTCGTGCCATGTTTGCCTGCACAGTCTCTGAATCCACCACATACTTCTCCATCCGGGAGTGCCTCCTGGCAAACAGCTGTGCTCCTTTCCCGCTCATGGCCGGTGGCATCTCAAAGGGTGGCTTCGTTTCCCTGGCACTTGGTGTGACTGGGGTTGGCTTTGGGGCATAGTTGGGACTTGCCAGGCTCGCCTGGGGCCCTTTGAAAGGACCAGCTAAGTTGAGAGTACTTGGGGGATGGGCGGGAGAATGAGGATACTGTGGAGATTTCGGTGGTGCGGGATATGCTGCCTGAGGTGAGGCTGGTGCTGGGAAAGAAGGAGCCTTGTTAGCAGCCGCAGCTGAAGGTGACCAAACCGGTGAAACTGGAGCACCGGCAGAGGGAGAGACCTTGAGTGAAGGTTTTGGAGCAACAGGAGGAGGGGCCTTTTGTTTAGATGCTTGAGTCTGCATGAAATTGCAAGCTTCTGCTCCCAAACTGAGGTAGTCTTCTTCAGGTCCTGACTCAAAACCAGCTCCAGCACCTTTTTTGCCCTCTGAATTGTGTACAAGGGACAACAGGGCGGGATTGGGACTTACTTTGGGTGCATCTTTGAAGTTGAACATGGGTTTTGAGGTGCTTCTTCTCTTTGCCTCTTGCAGTATGCCAGTTCTTTTGGCTGGCACGGCAATCCTTTCATCCCTGGATGCTATGTGTTCCGTGGGCTCCGTGGGTGCCCACATGCTTGGGGCAGCCTTGCTGGCCACAGGAGCTGAGACAGGTCTGTAGAAAGCTTCGGCCGGTGGGCTGACAGAGCAGTAGGGAGGCGGCGCTGCTGCATCTGAAAGAGGACTAGTGACATTTCTTACGGGTGAAAATGGTGCAGCTGCTCGGTTTTGAACCCCAGAAGGGAAGGGTTTAGCTGTTATATTCAAAGATGGTGCTCTGGGGGCTCCAGAGGACTGAAAAGGGAGGTTTGTGCCTGGTGCTAAACCAAAGCCATTTTGTTGCACCATTTTGCTGTGGTTCTGGCTCACGTCTGCGTAGCTTTTGCTCACGCAGGTCTGCTGCCTCGATGTTTCCTCCTCCTTTGATTGATAGACTGAAGAGCTTACTTTCTGGAAGTTCTCTGTCACGGTGGTTTCCCTGTGTTCCTCTGTCTGCACTGTGCTGGCCTTCATCTCCTCTTGCTCGGCCGTAATCTGATCCATCCTCTGCCGTCTCTTGGCAAACATGAGGGCCCCTTTCCCTGTGCTGTCTGCGAGCGTCTGCATCTCCTCTCCACTCTTTGTCTTCTTCTCAACCTCGAGTAGACCACTGTCCCAGTCAAAGGTCACAACCTTACCGTCCTTCTCAATGTCAGAGAAGAAATCTTCATCTATTTCTGACTCGCTGGTTGCAAGCAAACTCACTTCAAAGGTGTTTTCTTTGTCCCCCTCTTCACCTTCGCCCTCCTCACCCTCGTCTTCGTCCCGTTCTAACTCCCCAGTCCCGTAGCTCACTAAAGTGTATTTCCTCGCCCTTTGGCGGCGCTTCTTGAACATCAACACCCCCTTGGAATTGGGGTTGGGAGCTGCTGTCAGCAGCAGTGCAATACTTTTACATTTAGATTTGGCTTCCTTGACCTGCTTCTCTGACAGGCTCTCGCTTCGTCGGAGCCCTGTGGAGAGAATCAAAGGACACATTTATTTACAAGCATCCCACACAACTACAATTGCTGCATTTATCTATACTGAGTGTTATCCACCCTCCCCTTTTCCCATAGTAAAACATTTATTTTCTTCTATACGGAAAACTCATTATACTTCAGCTTTTCTCCCAGTATCAGCTGTGTGGTAAATTCCATCCCCTGCATTCCTTAGAGTCACACCCATGCAAGTTCAAAGGCTTCATTGCTTTCTTTAGGACTCTCTTAGTTCAACAGGGATATTACATGTGTCTTTATTTCTAGCATTCTTAATTTTTATTTCCACAAGTAATCTCAGCAGCAACAGGCAGGTGATGTTTTCTCACTCATCCAGTTTCTGGTCTGGTATTTACTGAGTGTTTGACCACAATTCCTGGGCTTCCAGCAGCCATTCCCAGCAAACCAGACTGTTTAATATCTGAGACCAAATGAAACCGAGCATATTCTGTCAGACAGTGGTAGCACCTTCTGCCATTTAGGTGTTTATTTTACTCCTATAAATTACAAAATGTGTATGGTTGTTATAGGATGCTTTTATGTATTAGCTATTTAAAAGCAAGGATGCATCCAAAAAGGCATACACAGAAAATTATTAGCATCAACTTTCTGCCCCTTGGAAGATGTGGGAGTTTGGCTCAAGGAAAGCAGGTTTCAGTCTTTTAACAAGCATTACCTGCCTGGAATATAATCCAAAATTCTGTAGGATGTAAGAGCTCCAGAATATTTATTTTGAAAATGTGGCAAGAGTGAATACACAACTGACTTCTCAAGAGTATCCACTAGCATATATCAATGGTACATATTTCTTAAAGCATAAATTACTGGTTTTCATCAAGTCATGTGGAAGGGGAACAGATGCAGCTGTAAAGCTGATGGATGCTGTCTACATCAGCCTGACTGCTTCCTTGTTATGGAACATGGAGCATGTGCCTTATGGGGCAATGCTGGTCAGGTGGTGTCCCTGGTTTTTTCCTTTCCTCATACTCTACCACTACATCTCATGAGTGACAGCCTCAATAGCTTCTCCCTTCAGAAAAAAAGCTGGAATTCAAAGCTCTTCCTTTGGGGATCGATGATCCCCTCCACCTAATTTCAAAAGGAAAAAATGTGCCTCTAATATAAGAAAATAGAACAGTAAATTATTTAGTATCTTTTGCAAGCATAAATAAAGCAAACTTATTAAAGAAAGCCATGTGATGAGGTGTTGTCTATTCATGATCCTTTTAGCTGTGTCAGTAGATGGAGTCTGATACTTCTCCAATTAAAGACAATTGGAGTTTTGCCATTATGCCAGATGGCAGCACGACTGGACCAATGGTTCTCACAAGAACTATGAAAAAGAGCATGGCACCCAAACCAGCAATTTGTAATATTTTATCGTGGGAGAGTCAAATCACAAAATCCTTGGCTCAGTCCTGTGACCACGCAAATGGTTACAGTAGTCACTGCAGACTATTTCCAAAAGTACAGGCTGTAGTGTTATAGTGTTACCTGTTCAGGTAAATATAATCTGATTATTATTTACAGAGGAAATTCCTGCTGAAGAGATCAAGCACCTGTAATAACTGTTCTTCTCTAGTTCAGACTGAAGTGCTGCATTATAACTTCTATTTTTGCAGAAAACATGCTTAGTATTTGCTGCACACAGAGTATTATTTGTTCATTCTAAAATGTAGATAGGATTTTAATAATAATAATAATGCAAAAAAATTTACAGATTTAATCAGTGATTCCTAAGGATAGTGACCTGCCACTAGATGAGAAGAGATTGAGATGATCGTAGTTGACACAGGAAAAGAATTGGATCTATGTCCTGCTTGAAAGAAGAATTTATCAGGTAAAATTTAGTTCATGCTTTGTACTTTTGCCTTTTCAGACTGGCACTGCAATTAATTCTTTAAGAAAGACAGGCACAGTCCCACAGTTGCTTCTGACTTCGCAGCCAAAATGTGAAGCATGTGCACTTTTCTTTTGTACTTCATTTAATATGCCCAAAATATGTGGGTTGCATACAGACACTTAGGCATAAGTCACTGCTTAATCCACTTGCCAATAAGACACAAATGGTTGTCATGCTAAAAATATGCTTCCAGAGGAATTAGCAGTGGGTTAGCGGAGGAGTTCCAACACTGCATATGAAATAGCTTGTTGCTACAGTATATCACTGCACACATTCAAGCACCTTTGACATACTGCTGCTAAATCCCCAGACAGGATTCTTCACATTGCTGGGAAGGAGCGAGCCACCAACAAAGAGGTCCCAGATGAAGAAAATAATAAATAAATAAATAGGTTAATTAGTAAATAATACACATCGACACCCGGTTAATTAATAGTAGCTCCAGTGGCAAGTTTACTTCCATGTAAACTTCTTGGACACATTTTGAAGCTGACCTCTGGGTATGGGAGTCAGGAGAAATAGCATGTTCACTTTACAGTCTGGAGAAGGCTGACAAAACCAAAAGGATCATGTAACAGTTATACACATGCTAGTGTCTGTCAAAATCTCTTCTGCAGGCAATATCAAGCTTTTCTGCTGGCCCTTTTTATTAACTTTTCAGAGCAGTGGCATGGCTTTGATTCTAGATAATGCAAATGGCAACACAAAGCTTTTGCTATAAAAGGAGAAATCCCCAGGATTCACATGTGCAAGCAACTTGCTCTTTTTGTTAATATTCTACAGATTGCCTCTGAATATGCATTAGAAGACCAGCGGAGTTCAGCCCTTTCTGGAGATGTAAGTATTTTTAGTTGGACAAAGTCATGAGTTACTTTCAAAGTGGAAGTCTAGTAAGCACAGTTATTCAGCAGAGTTAAGGCGTGGGTATACCCTTGGCTCATGACCAGGAGCATTGTATTACCCTGAAAGAATATCTAAAGCAAGAACAGAAACATTCTTTAAAAGAAAAAAGGAGAGGGAAAGTTAGAAAACTGCAGGAAAAAAAAAATCTCTAAACATTTCTTTCTAATGCCTTCTAAATCCTGAAATTATATCTAAAGTTACAAAAGATGCCCTCAGGCAGTGCAAATGATTAGATGGGACATACTTACTTGCGTGCCTTGCCCTGTGCTTGAGAGGTCTGTGTTCCTTTTCCGAGGGCTTGTTGTCTTCTCCCTGCTCTGTGCCTTCTGGTGAGATTGCAAAGGAGAGGAGGGAAGGAGGTGCTTCTGACTGCCCTCCTTCTGCTTGAGAATCAACACACCCCCTTTCAGACAGAGACCTGGGTGCTTCCTGCTCCCTGTCTGAACAGTCTAGGATCACCTCCACCCTGGGGATAGATGGAACTGCACCTTGGATCCTCTTGACCTCTTTGCTGCTGGAAAATTGGACTACTTTGTTTGACCACTGGACGTTGCCCTCTTTCACACCCAGGGGAATTGTGATGAGGGGGCTGGTCCCATCCTGTTGTACACTGGCTCCTCTTGCTGAAGGGGGGCATTTCTCTGCTCCCAGGAGAGTCACAGCAGGAGCACTGGTGCCCTTGTGGGTGTCATTGGAGAGGGACAACTGCAGCTCAACCACAGTCCCCGGCCTTCTTTCTTCTGTCTTCCCTCTGAGAGCAGCCTCGTCTGCCACGAGCACTTTGGAGGTGCCTATCACTTTAGGAGTGATTCTGTGGCTTTGTGTGGTCTCTTGTTTTGTCTCAGAAAAGTTTACGTTGCTTTCTGCCGCTCCCTGGTGAGTCCCACTGTATATCTCTGTGATGCATAAATCTCCACGGGGTATCTCTTTCGCCGTGTTAATTTGCAGTGTGGTGTTCTCCCTATAGTCCTCATCTTTTGTGTTCTTGGGCTTTCCATTTGCTCTTTCAGCACTCAAGGTTTCATTTATTCCACCGGAGGATCTGCACATACATAAACAAGTAATTCCAAAAATTAAGCTGCTGTAAGCACAGCCATTGTAAGTACAGTTACAAAAGCAGTTTCTCTAGAGAATTTCACCCCTTATATTAACTGTGGTACCTGCTAGCAGGTCCCTATAAATAGAAGAATTTTCTCAGAATGCAGAGGTCTTAAATTGAAGCATCTTTGTATCTTTCAAGATTCTCCAACATAACAGTTCAGTAAGAGGGGAAATTACACACCAGTGGTAGAACTGTATCATTCCTAACATCAGGGTACTTTCCCAGACACATTTCTGTTATAGGGTTTCCAGACAAATGCTGCTGAGACTTCTGAGACAATATTTCACATGTTCATCGGAAAATTAACTTTGCATGACACCAGAACAGGGGTTAATTTTTGGCTCTGTGGCCACTGCTGCAACTGTGTCAGGCACCATCCTCACATGGAGTTCCTGTACCACACAGTTCATTCTCTAAGGGATACATAAGAACTGGATGAGGATCAGAGGGAGGGGAATGAATACTTAAAATACACATTCAAAGAATTCCTGTGAGGATCATCGTCCTTATATATCATGGATCAATTAAAATACTCTGGGCCTATTCCAGTGATCCAGCATAAAAGGGTGGGGAACTTATGCAATATTTCCTAGTTATTTAAAAATATGTATTTCTAACTGGAAAATGCCATTTGCACTTCCTGAAGCCTGCTAAATATCTCAGTGTAGCTCTTTTCCCTAAACTCTTAATTCCCCTGGCCCAGTTAGGCTGTTTTACTGGTATTACTCTTTAACTCCTTCTCTCAGTACTCTGGACCATACTGACTACTATTAATTTGAGAAGAAACCTTCTCTGTACAGCAAGACTACAGGATGCTATTAAGACTTTCTATTGACTAGAAGGTAGCAAACCACTTTTTCAAATGAGAGAAGCAGTAAGTTCCCTCGGTAAAGTATTAATATCAGATATCATGGAGATTTTTGAAATCAAAAGCAGTCCTGGGTATTCTGAAACTTTGAAACTCCCTAAAAAGAAAGGCTGGAAGAAGCAACAGAAGAAATAAATCTGTCAGTGCACTGAAAGAAGCTCCAATATCACTTGCTTTTCTAGCCATGCAGCACACCGTTTGTGGCAGTCTGGGTCTACCTCAAACAGCACAAAATGTGTAACATCCATTTCACCACATGTGGAGCTACATAAAGGTCAGATGGATTTTAATTTAGGGAGCTCCTTGTGAGTGCTGCTGGATCCCATCAGATTATGCTGTTTGGATGATCAATTGTACTGCTCTCAAGCACAGATAAATTGCAGAAATCTGTAAACATTTCCATGTAAGATATGGACTGGGGGCTGGGCCAGCTAAATGTTAGCCTTTATTGGTAGCTGAGTGATTGTGTGTATGTGTGAGAGGGAAAGATTTCCACCTTAAAAGGCCCTTGCTACGTATGGATATACTTCTACTCTATATAGACATAACTGTTATCCTCTGTCAAAAGGCAGAATACTGGGTCTGACCTCTTTTTTGTCATTTAAGATTCTGTTTTGTCAAATTATTAATTACTTTTGTTTCAGGCCTTTCCAGCTCGCTGCAGGAACAACAGCCCTGGTGTAATTCCAGGAAGGAAGCAGAACCCATGGAGTCAGCACGGCAGGGTTTGTCTCAGACTCATGTTTTACTCCCTACATGGTGCATTTCATGTCGGTATGCACTGAGCACACTCCCTCCTTCCCCCTGGAAATGTTCTTTCTAGACTCAGCAGTAGCCCAGGGGTTGCTCACAGTGATGTGAAAAGGGCAGGCTGGTGTTTCAGTCCCCACTCCCCGTGTTTTTCCGGATCCATCTGTTCAGCATTTGTCGGGAAGCTCAGGAGATGCTCCCCCACATGGCATCTGGAGAGTGCCCGCCCTGCAGGGTGTTGCTTTCCTCTGATCCTGCAAACAGGACATTTTCGGGGCTCTGCTGCTCACTAACTGACTGTGCTTTACAGGGAATTGGGAAAACTTTTTGTAGACATCAAAGGCCAAGTAGCATTTTTTTAAACTACTTTGGAAGCCTAATTTGCCTCCCAGTAAGATTAATAAGAGCAAAATTGGGCCAACAATTAACGCCTGTGAAAACCTCATCCTTCATGCAAATGGTTCAGGAACAACCAGAATATTCCCAATGGAAAATATTCTTCCCTGCCAACAAAAGATACTTAGATGTAAAGATCACCATTGGAATGCCACTGTAATTATTCTTTCCTCGTGATTTCAAGAGTTTTCTTGAGGTGGCTGCTAACAAGTGGCTACTCAGGAAAGGAAGGATTTGCTTCTCCTTGCTCTCAGAGGATGCTAAGACACTTCCTGAAAAGTCCTTCTGGTGGTTGTGCTAAGAGGGATAGTACCACAAACAAGGTGGGAGGGGAAGAGAAATGTTTCAGTCTGTTCTCCCATACTTGGGAAGATACTGACAGCACGGGCTGGGATTTGAGAGAGATGAGCTGGGGAGAAGAAATTCAAAGATTCTCACAGTGAATTCCTTTAGAACATTTTGTCCCTTTCAGAGTGTTGAGCAGCTGCAATTTCCTTAATATTTCTACTAGACATGGTTTCGTTCCATGAAACACTGAGTTAGGTGGTCTAAGCAGTGTTTTGGTTTTGATTTTCAGGACGTGCCTTGCTGTTCACCATACATTCAAGCAGGGGCAGGGGAGAGTCCCTCTCAGCCAGAGTGTCCTGCAGCCTTCAGACAAGTGAAATATCAGTTATAGAACAGCAACAGGCAGGAGTCAAAGCATGTGGAGCTATTTCTGTGGCTGCAAAGACAAGTGGTCAGCCACAAATACCATTTTTACAAGTGCGATTCTCGTAGTCACATTATGAATTAAAAACATAAGAATGCAGCTATCATATGAGGAGCACTCAAATGGTACCCTTAAGTCCTTACAAGGAGCGTGTGTGGAAGTTTCAAGTCTTTTCTTCCTCTTCTTACCCCCAGTGAAGGCAATTCAGGGTTCATCTTGTCTGAATTCACAAAGTCTGGGGAGAGTGTGCTTGCAGGAGGTGGACAGGCATTAGAGTAGACTGATGTGCAGTGAGCAGATTTGCAAATTTACATGAAGATTCTCCAAGAAACTCAAAGCATTTGCAAAGAAAATTGAAATTCACTCTCACTGTTTTATAAATGCAGAAGCTGAGACCCAGAGAGCTGTAAGTGACTTGCCCCACCTCATCTAGGGAGGTGATAACAGCTACAGAAATAGAATTCCTGACTTCCAGACCCTCTCTCCCTTCTGACTCCTAGTGCATTCTGCCACCCAAGAAGACCATTTGCCATGTCATCATCAGGGCATATCTGTGTAACACACTTTCCCCATCCATACAGCTTTTGCTTTCTGTAAGCCTCACTTCCCTATCTGTGGGGAATAACAACACTTCACTGCTTCAAAGGGAGAGAGAAAATATTTGAACTCGAGGCTCTGCAGTTTGCAAATATTAAGAATACTTATATTTGGAGACTGCAATCTTAATTCTGTGCCCAAACACTGCTGTTGAAATCATGTACATTAATTCCTCCAGCTCAAATACTCTGTCTTCCCACCTTTTCCATACAGACAAGCAGGGTCACAGACATTAGCAACAGGACTATCAGAAGCTCCCAGTGTAAGTCTGTAAAATGAGTGTGTTCAAAGGCAGCATTTTCCAGGTGATTCCCTGAGCTGCACCGAAGCATTCTGAGCATTCCTGTACCTCTTGATAAGCATCTGCAGGACGTCAGTCAGGCTTTCCATGAGAACAATGACTTCAGCATAGGTCAGGTCTCCACAGGGCTTGCCATTGATGGACACCACCTCATCCCCCTCACACAGCCCAGCCTTGGCTGCTTTGCTTTTGCTGCGAACCTACAGTGAGTCAAAAACAAATTCCAAATTGCACGATTAGCATTCATTTGAAAACAGCAGCAGCCAGGTCCTCAGCTTACTTCTGTCTGTACCAAAGAAAAAGAATCAATAGTATTGGTCATAAACAAATTCCTAGTAACTTGTCGCAGTTGAGGTTAATACTGTTCTGGCCAGTAATAACAAATGCAAACCGTCTGCTTTGCTGATCTTATGAGCTAGATGTCAGACAGGCTGGATTTATCATTTTAAAACTGGGAGACATAGAAATTTGGGACAATAATCAATTGATCACTGTTTAGAAGAAATGCCAAAAACCGCATTAGTTTCTCTGAAAATAAAAGACTACTAGAGCTGAAATCTACACCAAGATTTGAGAGGAGTGTATAAATTCAGGCCTCTTTGGGCAGACTGTCAAGATCTACATTCTGTTAGGGCTGTAGGTATAAAGACTCCTGGTATACTGGGCATTTTTTTCCTTGGGTGCCCAAGTGTAGATTTAGTTGCCAAACTATAAACATCTGTATCCCTGGAGATCCTAAATCCATGTTTAGTCATCTCAATGAGTGCCCTAATTTATTATAGTTATGTCATGCCTGTTATGGTTTAACCTTCCCTGCTAAGTTCTCATTCAAGGATCTTATGCAGCTCAGTTTTTGCTGTTTCACTCCTTTTTCCACTGGCAGCATGTTATAACTTACCATGGTCTTTGTATAACAAAACCTAGACAGCTTTAACACCACTCAAGGTATGCCGTACAGTTGACTGCTATTTTTAAAGTACATATTTGGCAAAGAGTGTGTTATATTAGCCAGGATGCTTGCAGGAGTCTATTTTAGAGTGACACATACACAAAAAAGGGCTGTCCTTGGGTTCTTTGATCTCAGACTTCTACCTGTTGGTATGAGTACTTTGGCCTTATATGATATTCAGTTGGTGATTACGTGTGTTATCCTTATTAATTCTCACAGCATTTTCTTGAACATTTTTAAAGAAGTAGCACAGTTCTACACTCACAGCAGCAGAGACAGTCCCCACTGACTCTAGGGAAGCTACTTCTGATATATACCAAATTTGAGGGTGCAGCTGCCCCACAGACTCATGGAATTATCCCAAATCCATTATTAAGCCAAATGGGTCTCAGGCTGGTACCTAAGACCCATTTCTGGAAGCAACATTGAAAAGATTCTTGGAGTCAGGGTGATATTTGGCATGAAGAGTGAGAGTGCACGTTTTTCTGTGGCAGGGCCACCACATATATCTTTGCTGCTTCAATTTACACATACCCATATGTCATATTATGGCTCTTGGAGCAGGGAAGGACCAGAAGCCTGGTGCATACAGAAGCCAGTCCCTACCTTGCAGAGTTAACATTTACAAATATGGAGTGGTATGCTGCTCTGTTTAGCTCCCCTTAGACAAGAGCATAAACTTCCTTGTGCTTTGGGAAGAAATGACAGTTTGGACAGTGTTTAGAATGTGTTGCTTCATATATGAGCTAGAATTTGGGTTGAAGTGCAGTTTTTTTTAAATAGGAGGGTATGCTATGAAAATTTTACAGAACATCCTAGGCCTGAATGTAAATATTTAATGTAGATGCCATGAGGAATTTTGAGTGACCTGTAAACAGCCATTATGGCAACATGTGAAATAGCATAATGTGATACCTGGATTGTGAGAAGAAAACTTGTTTGTGTTTCTTTATTAAGTGTTTGAGAATATGGGGTCAGTTCTGTCATAGATTACCATTACAGCTGTTTCAGGAGAGAAACTGCTACCTATTCCATAACTTCAGTGATGTATGTCAAAAAGCAAAAGTACAAACGACAATGTTAGTAGCTCTACATGAATTTCTAGGCAGCTCAGTTACATGATTTTTTAAACAGACTTCTTGGTAGCATTCAAAAAAAAATAGACAAGGGCATTGAATTTCCTTTTAAAGTTGTTGAAAGCACCTCTCAGTCCATTTTATATTATCTTTTTTTTTTTTTTGGTGTTTCTGTTGGGGGAATAAAAGAGAGGAGATAGCAGTGCCCAAAAAATGGGCAGGGGCAGATTGTGTGATAAATTATAGCAGGGTGCTGCTAGGGTAGAATATCCCTCATCATTTGTGTTATTTTAGCCTCAGCATACTGCCAGCTTACTCAACAATGAATAGACTGCCTTGCCAGGGAAGTTGTCATTGTTTCTGGCTTTGTTTGTTTGTCTTTACTGGAAACCCACACAAATGAGCAAATAATTTACACATGTAAACCAAAACTTTTCAGATTTCTGGCAAAAATTAAAAAACAAAATAAAAATCCGAAGAACAGCTCCAGGGTCTTCCTGGTAAAATTTGTGTTCAGTGGACAGTTTTCTCTCAGAGGAAGAAAGGCAGAAAGCCTTTGAGGACCCCACTGGGAAACAGAAGCTGCCTTTGTTAGCAGAAATACAACTTGGTCATAAAGGGGACAGTAAGAAACTTTTATCCACGGCTTAGGAGCTTAAAACAAGGCACATTTGATTGTAAAGCAGAAAAGATTTTTCCAAAATGAGTGATTGCTCTTGCCTTATAGTGCAGCCCTGGCTTTCTCAGGCACTCGTTTCTCCTGTCTGCTTTGAGTTGGAGTTTTCTTTAGGAAGAAAAAGTGGTTTTACGCTGTAAAATTTGTGAATTGGATCTCACTACTAGAAAAATATGTTCATAAAGATTTTCTTAGTTTTTCAATGCCTGCAATTCCAGTATAACACAGCAAAACTGAGCCTGTACTGTTAGTGCTGAACCTGTCAAGGCACAGCTGCTCCTGGGGCACATGGAAGAGCTTCACCCCGCTGTCCCCTGGTGCTGCCTGTGTTGCTTTCCTGCCCCCCCTCTGTCAGGACTCATCATTATCTGATTTACCTGAAATATGTAATTTCTTTTTATTCCCAGATAACCACTGCATCTGGAATTTCCCACTGTCAGGAGTGCCCTTTGCTGATTAAAATGTCAAGGGCCGAGCAATTCCTCAAATCCACAGAAATGTTAATCTTAGGGGAAAGTTCCTTTTGTGAGGAACTCAGCCAGGATGTTTGCTGTCATCAGAGCACTACAGAGAATCCAGGACCTCCTGGCACCGGTTCACAAGCAGCAGGGACTGGGGGCTGTCCAGGGGCTCTTCAGGAGGGTCTGTAAAGACTTGGGCTGAATCTGTGAGTGAGCAAGGAGTGGGTGCTGTGATGCCTTGATGAGAGATCACATCCCAGAGGCACAGGTATGTGGGGGGGAAAGTGTGGGATAGTCACTACTGTGGGTTGGTGGTAGCTGTGGAATGCTGCAGGGGCTGGAGCAGCCATGGGTGCCTGCAGCACATGGCAATTCCAATCAGTGTCTTAACCAGTGAAAGGAATATTAGATCTCCTCCTTCGGTTTAATCTGAAAGCACTTTACTTTGTACAACCCCCAAACTTCCATCCTAAGAAACGACATATGGTCAATCAGGATAACAGGGAAATTTGCTTCAAAAAAGGTAGTCCTGATGAAGCTGAAAAGCTGGAGTAGATGCACCTGTCACTTGTTGTGTCTGCAAGTGGATGCACAGACAGCAACTGGGGCTCAGCTTACTGGCTGATGATCTTGGGTGTGTGTCTGAGCCCTATAATAAGCAGAGCAGAGAGCTGAGGTATGTTGAACCTGGTAACAAGGTCAGTGAGTTGAAGTTTAAAGCCAGGGAGATAGATTTGAGGATGCTCTGCAGTCCTGGTTCTCTAATTGCTCAATGAAGCATTATTAGAATATTTCATCATCTTGTTTTTACCAGTGGCTTTTAGGAAGGATGATGTGTATCTTAATTTTATTCTGGAGTTTATTCTGGACCTAGGGGCACATACCTGTATCTGGGATGTGTGTCTAAGTGCTGTGC